AAGGCAACAGAATAAAATAAGAAGCACAACAACCACTACTACTACTACTACAACTACAACTACTACAACTACTACTACCACCACTACTACTACTACTACTACTACTACTACTACTACTACTACTACTACTACTACTACTACTACTAACACTACCACTACTATTATTACTTCTACTAATATTACTATAACTAATACTACTACACAACAACAACATTAACAACAACATTAACAAAAACAACAAAAAGATACAACATAACTTGACAAACCATGAAAACACAACAAGACAAACAACGACGTAAAATAACGGTGGAGACATCACCATCGTTTCATCCATCTCGCCAGCAACCACCATCCAATAATAAGGAGAATGTTATAAGAGGCCAATTGATTCGCAGTCACTATAATCACTAAAATCACTGCACACACACACGCACACAAATACACATTCACACAACACACACACACACAAATACACACATACACACATTCACACAACACACACACAAACACAACACACACACAACAATCGCACACAGCACACACATTCAAATCAATACACGCACACGCACACATAATAACAACTATATTTACAAACGCAAAACTACACACACACACACGTACACACACACACGTACACACACAAAACTACATATATATTCAGAAAGATATGCACTGAAATACACACAATACAATAAATCATTGTAATTCGAGATTTTAAAGGAAGAAAATAAAACAACATACAATACATTAAAAATACAATACAAACCAATACAATACAATACACATGACACATCGCTATATCCAATACAACATACAATGAAACATGTATTACAAAGTTAAATAAAAAAATACACATACAATTCAACACACAACATCACATACAGTACAACAAACACTACAACATACATTAAAGACTATCGACTATACATATCTATGCAAGAATACATGTGTATGTTTATGTATGCATTTGTTTATACATGTATGTATATATGTATGCATGTATGCATGCATGTATGCATGCATGTATGTATGTATGTTAAAACCAAAACATGATGAGTGACACTGTACCGTCAAACATCAAGTAACAAATGGATTAACACTTTGATTTGTCGTTAATTGCAAATGTCGGCATTCAGTTGGATATTTTCAAGCACACAGACACGCAGGAACCGCTGCAACAAGCACGAAATGTGGTTAGTTGCGAAAAACAGTTCCCTGCTGTCGCCTGATCTGACGCTGATCATTTTACATATTGCCTTAAGAAATTTAAGGGTGTTGGGGTCCATCGGGCCGAGAACCTCGATACATATTGGCAAGAATTCTATCGAGGGGAGGGCGTTCCCATATTTTTTCATTTTCTCGTCCGCTGCCCTGGCTGCGGCCAAACCGCATTCTTTACTTGTCAGGTTTACGTATCGTTCGGCGAGGGTGCCAGGGACCGTAACATCCTACGCCAAACATCTGCTGGCTCTCCAAGGTAATAGTGTGCATCCGTCCGGGCGCCTACCATCATGCGCAGAAATGCCGGATGGTTCCTTGAGAACCGGGATTGAAGCCTTGGAGAAGAGCCGACAAATGTATTCGTTTAGCGCTGAGTGACGTAGTTGAGGGCCCCCACCCAGGCGACAAACCAAACCGTGGTGCCCAAACTCGTCCGCCCCTGCGCCACATCGGCACGTGTATTTATTCTGAATGACCAGGCCAAGTCTGAAGCCAATGGCAAATCTCACAGACTCGTTGTCAAGCCTGGTGCCCACAGAGGTGTTGGGCCACGATTTCAACCACCCACAGCTGGCAACGCTGGACATGGCCAACAAACGAGCGGTGGAAAAGTCGTCGCCGCAGGAAGACAACAAATTTTGAAAGATTTGTTTATATTATTTGTTCAAAATTTGGACGTGCGTACGGTCTCCCGGGGCGGACACTGGGGAAGAATATCGTGGCAACAAAAAACCGGTGGAGCAGGGAAGACTGCAGGTCGAGAGTGGCAGCGGCAGAAGAATTATAAACAACGGGAGCCAGCTGAACCACGCTAAGCAACCCCAGCCCACCAAATCGCACCGGCAGCTGAGCCTGGGACCAACCACTGTCGGTCACTTGAACATTGCAAATCGACGACAGGGCGGTGCGCAGGGCTCCGTCAAATTTGCCCAATTTAGAAGGGTCGATGGGTTTGAATGTACGCAGGAAGTACATCAATTTGGGCAAACTGAGGGCATTGCGGATAATAGTCAAGGCATCATGGGCCGAAAGACAGGAAACACGACCCAGGGCGAATTTAAGCTCAGAGAGCTTTTGGTCAAAAAACTTTATTTGATAATCGCCCTCGACCAAGGGTGTGTCTAAAAAACTCAGTTCTGATGCACCAACTCTGGGTATTCCAGCCAGCGCATGTGGCACCTGAAATAAACTTTGGCAGTGAAGTTCGCATTTTTTAATGTTTAACTCTAAACCAATTGCAGCGGAGTTATGCTTCAAATATTCGTAGCTATGTATGTATGCATATGCATGCATGTATGTGTGTGTATGTGTTATGTATGTATGCATGTGTGTGTATGCATATATGAATGTGTGTATGTTTGTATGTCTATGTATGTATATATGAATACTAGAAAGCAGAAAAAAATTGAAAAATTGCAAAACTGTCAGCGAATAAAATGATAAATGAATTCATATCATGGTTCAATTACATCGATCATCATCCTAATCACTATATCAAGCCAAGCACCTCATACATTGCCTTATTTGTTAGTATATCTCTCTATACATTCGTCTTATGTTATGATATGTGTGTGTATCATGAACATATACATCCGTCATATATGCTTATATATCTGTGTAATAAATAAATAAATAAATAAACATATACATTCATCATATGTTGATTACACGCGTATGTGTGCATAATTCATGTTTAGATTCGTCATATGTGTAGTCGATATATTTGTATTACATTTATTTAGTTTATTATGATATATGTATATATATATATATATATATATATATTTCTCCTCTTTTCTCTCTCTCTCTCTCTCTCTCTCTTCACTCTCTCTCTCTCTCTTCACTCTCTCTCTCTCTCTATCAAATTTGATGGTTTTCACTGTTCTCTTCACAGATACTTGCATGTACGTCATTGAATCAAGTGAAGATTGTTTGAAGTAACTGTCGCGGTTATAATAATCTGAGTTTTGATGATAACACTGACAGTAGTAATAGTGGTAGCAGTAGTTGTGGCAGTAATAATAGCAGTGGCAGCAGCAGTAGCGGTAGTGGCAGAAGTTGTTGTTATTGTAGTAGAAGTGGCAGTAGTAGTAGTATTAGCAATAGCAACATTCAGGCCCGGTTCTTGAACTCGTTTGTGCATAGGCAACATGCGAATTTGCCGCCCCTCTCCAATAATTTTGATTTGATTTTTGAATTTTTTGACCTTAAAATCAGATTTTTTTAATTTTTCTTATATCCAATTTCTTTTTTTGATTGAAGACCAACCAAACGATCTTGGCACATATGAAACGTCAGATACGATTTTTTTATTTTTAACTTTGAAAAAATTCTTTCGGCCTTAGCAACTGTGGCTGGTAACGTTGGATGAACCCAAAGAGCTATTGAAAGGTTAGGGAAGACTTAAACAAATTTCGATGAATATACATATTGAAAAACATTTTTTGAATCGCTTTTTGATGGATTTCTTTATACTTTTCTTTTGCTCCACAGTTCCCATCCGTTGATATCTGATTTACCATAGTTGTAATTTCTTAGAGTGAATTAATAATTTGTCATCCTTTAAATTCATGCCGTTTATATTGTACAGAAGCCAAAATAACTCGTTATGTTCTACCTAATTGTATCTAGTGCATCTGTCTTTTACTGTTTGAATTGATAAGTTAAATATCTGGCTGTAAAAAGATACTCTAAGCATTTGTTCAGGCGATGCAATCGTTTCTATCATCATTGCCTTCGTATGAAAATTATCGGTTTTTTGCGCACACGTGTAACTTTCTATTCATCGAATCTTTCATATATTTCCAGTTCCATCGCTAATATTTTAAATTTCTCAATCATTGCTGATAAAAATCATCAGTATTAATCGCATAGAAAAGATTTAGCAGCGTTTAAATGTTTTAAGCTAGATTCAAAACAAATCTAAACCCTGTAATTGCAAAATTTTGCGGACAATGGTAATTTTATTATAATTATTACAGTTATTACAATTTAATTACAAGAAAATTTATTTTAAAATTTTCAAAAAGGACCTTTTTCAGAGACAGAAAAAGGAGCAACTAAACGTTAATTTAATCTTAATGAAAAAATATACTACGCAAATTTATAAATTATAACAGTTAACTAATTAATTAATTAATTAATTAATTATTGACAATGAAAATGCCGCTTCTTGATAATTTAAAAAAACGCTTCCTCGTCTTCGCCTAAAACTGGCATTGAAACGTTTTTTACACACGATCTTCCACTGAAACAATGTAATATTTTATTACGACTTAATATTTTACTCATATGTTTTATTTAAATATTCAAATTTGGTTTCACATTTATAATCTTATAAAAAGTTTTTTAAATTTTTAATAATGAAAATGAAATTTAAAAGATGAGAAAAGAAAGATTAACTAAAAGTGAACCTCAATAGAAAAATAAACTACTAGTATCAAAAATTTTAACACTCGAAAGTTTTACATTACTAAAAATTAGTGAAAGTTAATAATTTTTTTAGAGAAAATGCCGCCCCTTGAAATCCTTATAAATGTGCCTACTTCACCTACGCCTAGGGCAGGTCTGGCAACATTATTGATAGTGCAGGGTAGTAAAATTAGTAATATTAAAGATAACAAGAGTAATAGTAGTTGTAAATATAAACATTTTAGATTATCTTTTTCTGATTTCAACATTATTATTATTTTTTTGTAATTTATAATCACCAGCTTCAAATGAAATCCATAATGTCAACTGTGTTCATATGTTGTAGGTTGCATGTGTATATGATATTTCTAATCAAATGTTGTGTTGTTGTAGTTATTGATGTTGTTGTAGTTATTGATGTTGTTGTAGTTATTGATGTTGTTGTAGTTATTGATGTTGTTGTAGTTATTGATGTTGTTGTAGTTATTGATGTTGTTGTAGTTATTGATGTTGTTGTAGTTATTGATGTTGTTGTAGTTATTGATGTTGTTGTAGTTATTGATGTTGTTGTAGTTATTGATGTTGTTGTAGTTATTGATGTTGTTGTAGTTATTGATGTTGCTGTAGTTATTGATATTGTTGCTGTAGTTATTGATATTGTTGCTCTCATCATTAAAAACCACCTTGAAAGAATTCACTGCAATCAATTAAATAAATTGTAATTTATATAATTGGCACATGTAAATTTAAACTATGTATATACATATATTCACACATACATTATATATATATATATATATATGTGTGTGTGTGTGTGTGTGTATGTATGTGTGTGTGTATTTGTGTATGTACGTGAATTTGTGTGCGTGTCTATGTGTGTATAAAATGTGTTTTCTTCAGTCATTAAGCATTGGTTTTTATGAAGGTAGAGAGTAGTAATAATTTGAATTGGATTCCTGGAACGTCTCTGCCACATTTAATGAGTTACTAAGTATGCCATACTTACAACATTGTATGTCGTATGTTCTATGCTTTATCCATCCATCCATCCATCCATCCATCCATCCATCCATCCATCCATCCATCCATCCATCCATCCATCCATCCATCCATCCATCCATTCATCCATCCATCCATCCATCCATCCATCCATCCATCTTGGATGAACAGAATACGGAGTAATATGCTCGTATTTATCTACCCAGTACATGATCCTCACAAAATGATTCTGGCCCAATGTTAAACGCCCCATATGTGAATTTGGACAAACAATATATCAAATACAGATATTTCAAAGAAAAATAGAACATTTTTGTCACTTGATTGGGAACTTTATTCTTATTCTAAAAATTATGCCTAAATTTCTGGAAATTTTATTTTTGATGTAAAGAATGTGATCATTCCATGACATATCACTACAACTCCTAAAAATTTAATAATTGAGACCCGCTTTATCGGAGTATTATTGAAAAGAACAGAGGTAATTAGTTTAGTGGTTACTGCTTTATGCCCGAACAGAATATAATTGGTTTTATTAACATTCAAATGAAGTTTATTTTTAGTCATTAGATAATAAAGATTCCAAAATTGAACCATGTGGAATTCCTAAACTGATGAGAGTCTTGCTTGAAGTCTTTTCATCAATACAGACATACTAAAATCTGCTGCTCAAATAGCATTCAAACCACTGCAACGCTTTTCCTCTCGCTCCATAACGGTGCAGCTTTGACAACAAAATTTTATGATCAATTGTATCAAAAGCCCGTGTAAGATCTAAAAATATTGCAATTGCATGATATTTAATTATCCATATTAGCTGATATGAAATGACAGACATGTTGATTTTGTGAAAAAAAAGATGAATTGTTTAAGCAGCTTATTAATTTCTGTTCAGCTAATTTTTCTAAAATTTTTGAAAAAACAGAGAAAACTTAAATCGGTTTATAGTCGCATACATTTAGGATGTCTACTTTTAAAAAAAAAATCCATCAGTTGGTCATCATCATCATCGTCGTCGTCTTCAAAATTATCATCATCGTCATCATCACCATCTTATTTATCATCATAATCACCATCGTCATCATTCTAGTTGGCTTCATCATCGTCATCACCACCATCATCGTTATCGTCATCACCATTATCGTCATCATCATCATCATCATTCTCCTCCTTCTCATCATCATCATCATTTTAATTATTACCATTCACACCATCGTCGCCATCATTACAGCTACTAATAATCACTTTGATTGATGAACAAGGAACAATTATTATTATTATTATTATTATTATTTTTATTGTTATTATTACTACTACTATTGTGTTATTATTATTATTATTGTTGTTGTTGTTATCATTTAAAATATAACAAAAATAATAGATGAAAACATTCTTTGTGACGTGTGTTCGTGAAGCCTAAATAATAATAATAATAATAATAATAATAATAATAATAATAATAATAATAATAATAATAATCAGCAATGACGTTAATAATGATATCAACGATAAATAAAAATAATAATAAAATAATATTAACAACATGAATAATAACATCAACAATAATAACATGATTAATAACAATAACAGCAACAATAATAATAATATGCAAGAACAGTCATAATAATAAAAACAATAATTTTTACAACAACAAAATGATGGTAATAATAACAATGATATTAATATTGCAATAATAACAATAATAAAAATAAACAACAACAACAACGACAAGATAAAAACACTAAATAAGAGAAGATAATGTAGAAAGCTAATTGAATGTCTAAAAATGATAAATGGAGATGTGATGCAAAAATTAAATGATGTACAATATAATTAACATTTTTTATGCTGCTGCTGTTGTTGTTGTTGTTGTTGGTTGTTATGCTAATGTTGTTGTTGTTAATGTTGTTGTTAATGATGATGTTGTTGTTATTGTTGATGTTGTTGTTGTTGGCATGGTGATATCATCTTATTTGCCGTTGTATCTTCTTGCATGTTGTTGACTTTGTTTTTGATGCTATTGATTGTTGTTGTCTGTTTGTATTTGTTGTTTTGGTTGTTGCTGTTGTTGACGTTGTTGCTGTTGTTGATAGTGTTGTTGTTTTTGTTGTATGTTGATGTTGTTTAAAATATTAACGGTTTTTAGGAAGCATTTGATTTCTTTTTCTTGAAAACAAAGATGTCACCGATGATGGTTTTTGTTGAGTAATGTAGTAGCAGCTCAGCAGTACAGTAGTAGTGCTAGTAGTAGTAGTAGTAGTAGCAACAGCAGTAGTAGTAGTTGTTGTTGTTGTAGTCGTCGTTGTTGTTGTAAAAGTTATAGCTGTCGTTGTTGATATGGCTATTAACGCTGTTAATAATATTAATGTGTCGTTGTTCTTATTGTAGTAGATGTTGTTGATTTTGTTGTCATTATTATTATTATTGTTGTTGTTGATGTTGTCGTTGTTATTATTATAATTGTTGTTGTTGTTGTTGCTGCTGCCATAGTTAATGTCCTGCAGATGACCACAATGTCGTTGTTTCAGTTGTTTTAAGTTAGAGTTGATACCGACGATGATGATGAGGACAAATATTATTTCTTGATTTTGTTACATTTGCTATTGTTAAAAGAAGTTTTTTATATCAATTTTTTCCATACAACTGTATGAGATTTTTCGCCAAAAATTCGCAGTTCAGACAACATTACCCTGTTATCTCGCTAGTAAAACCTTTGCATTTTGTTCTTTTCCAAAGCTATCATTGTGGCGCCAGCAGGTTCAATAACAATAGAAATAACACTAACAATAACAATAGTCTGACAATAAAAAATGATAAAAATAAATAACAACAATAATAAATCAACAACAACAATAACAACAACAATAATAATTGTAATAATAATAATAATCCTAAAATAAAAACAAATGACAAAAATATAACTGAACTAGAAACTATCAAAACAACCTGCAACAAACACTAAATAATCAATATGTAGATGCTTTACAAAATTAAATTGGCCAACCAACGGTTACACCCACAATGCTTTAGTGTGGCTCGGGTGTGGCCAAATGAGGTACGTTTAGATTGTTGCCAACCGCCTGCTGCTACAAATATTTTCATTATTGTTACTATCTAAAGAAGATGGCCTTCGTTTACCATGCCATGGAAGAACAGGGGGCAGAAGGGTCATACAGCAAGGGTCTCCAAATTTAAAGGACTGGCCTTTAAAAATTGGCCTAAAAAAATAATGTCATTTGAAAGTAACATAATAAAAAACCATTTTCGATCGACTGAATTTTTCAACCTAAATAACTTATAAAAGTGATAAATCACTTATAAAAGTGATTCTGAGAGGGACTAGTTTTGGCATAGTACTGTAGCGTGTAAAATATTATTTACGATCCACTATGGACTAACAACGCAACCAGCCTGGCAACAAATAGGAAGCCATAATTGGGATCTTCCAAACAGCTCCGATTCATCTCAAATAATAAGTTCGCTTGCAATTCTGAAGGTCCGAAAATCTTCTACGTAATATTCAAACGAATCTTTTTCACTCAACTTTTATCACTAACTACTGTTACTACAACAACTACCACTACTACTACTACTACTACTAAGTTGTTGTACATAGTTGTAGTATTACATTTACTACTACTACTTTTACTACTACAACAACAACTACTACTTTTAGTAGCAGTAGTAGTAGTAGTAGTATTAGTATTAGTAGTAGTAGTAGTACCACCACCACTACACTTACTGATAACTTTACTGGAAATAATATAATAATAATAATATAGCAACAACAACAACAATATAATAATAATAACAATAATATTAATGTTCGTCGTGATCACCATCATTTAAATACCCTGGTTATAGCTTCGTTATGTTATCATCATCGTCGGCGTTCTATTCTTTAATCAGCAACATGTGCTTTCAACATTTGTGACCGCACGTGTGTGTGTGTGAATGTGTTTGTGTTTGTTTGTGTGTTTTTGTGTGTCTGTGTTTGTGTGTGTGTATGTGTTGGTATGCTTTTTTGTTAAATATTGGTGTATGTTTGTGTGTTCTTGCTTAAATGTTCTTTTGGAAAAAAATAAACAAAAAATTAGTACGGCATTAATATTTGATTGATTTGGTAGGCCGACCTCACAGTTGCCTTGAGCGTGTGTCGTGGATTCGTGGTGAATGCTACCAAAATAATCATTGAGTGGGGCTGCCGATGGAAGTTGTCTGCCCTTATTAATGTTGATCTTTTTTTAATTTCATCTCCGAACAAACATCTCTTGCTGATAAACATATCATTAAAAATATCGAAATCAGGATTGAATATTGAAGTTAAATGAAATAATAATAACCATGCTTGCCACCATGACTACAATAACCGCCACCACTATCGTCATTACCACCACCACCACCACCACCACCACCACCACCACCACCACCACCACCAAAACATTTATTGATGAATATAACCCATAACATGCAGTCATCAACATTGAAAACTTAACCCTATTCATTCGATGCAACATGTTTCAACAACATCAGCTTTATTGAATATTTAGTTTATCAGCTGGTTGATTGGTGATTTGTTGGCTAGTTGTCTTGTCTGTTGGTTGGTTTTTAAGTTAGCTGATTGATTGAACGAATTTTCGATAGTTGATTGGTCAATTGACTGATTGATTGATTGATTAGTCAAATTTTAGCGAGTTGATTGGCTGCTCGAATAATTGTGCGATTGGTTGAATGATTGTTTGGGTGATTGGTTGAATGGTTGTTTGTGTGATTGGTTGAATGGGCGAGAGATGTTCATGATAATTAATTAAAATAAATTATTTTATATGAATATTTATGAATATTTTGCTATGAAGATGTCCAAGCTTCCTTTTTCACTTTGCAGAAACAAAATAACAAAAAAACAAAAAAAACAACTCAACCAAACTAAGAAGTTTAACATTAATCTATTGACCATCATCATCATCATCATCCTAATTATCACCATCATCGTGCTTGTCATCATCACTAACATCATCATCATCATCATAGTCATCACCATCATCATCATCATCATCATCATCATCATCATCATCATCATCATCATCATCATAGTCATCATCATCATCATCATCATAGTCATCATCATCACCACCAAAGTCATAATCATCATCAATGCATAGATGCAGTGGCTATTTATCACATCAGATGAAACGGAATTTCTTACAATAACCAATACATTTAAGCGCACGCACACACGCACACACGCACGCACTTGGCGGTACAAAGAAAAAGAGATCGTGATAAAAAGAGAGAGTACGATGGAAAGGAG